GGGGGGGGGGGGGGGGGGGGGGGGGTTAACAGGAACTGAGTTTTTCTTATCTTCTGATATTCCCAAAAGCACATGGCAGACATTTTTGGGTCGGGCTGGAAGCCGATTGGAGGCTGGTTTCGGAGTCGGGATGTTGTCAGGGCTCGGTTTCCATGGCTACGTCTGCTACTAATTAACCCCCCCACTCCCCCAAAGCCCCCCCCGGCCGTTAACGAGGTCTGTTTGAGTCCGTGATCCGTCCGTTTCCTCTCTTCCAGCGGGAAAGTTTAGACATTTATCCTCCGAACGTCGCCGTTAGTCTCCCAGAGAAGGCCGTACGTGTGTTTGTGTGTGTGTGTGTGTGCGTGTGTGTGCGTGTGTGTGAAAGAGGGCGCGTTATTCCTTGACGAGCCGGTAGATGTGGTGCTGCGCCCCGTGCTCGTTGTTGGAAACCTCGAACACGCACGCCATGCACAGCAGCGTCTCCTGAGTGTCTCTGTTGCTCACCACCTGGACACACACACACACACAAAACAAACACACACACACACTCGGGTTAGACACTTCACACGTTGCCTCACATCTGGACACCAGGAAAAACTCTTGACCCTCCTAAGAGCCCGTTGTTATGTGTCTCTTTGTACCAGGATGCTTCTTTTTTCTTTGACCTTTGACCTCTTGGCCTCATAGCAGACGCTATTAGGCACTACTGTTTGAAATCTAAAGTAAAACGGTTTTAGACATTTTACACCAATCGTTGTTCTTATGTTGGAATTAAAATGTTGTAAATAAGTCATTTGGACCCTCAGAACCAAATAGGAAAAAAATGTATTTAAATATATAAAACAAACATTTTAAATCTAAAGATAAACCCACTGAGCCTATATGAAGAAAAACTACCTGTACCAGGACAAAGTCTAGATATTAAACTTATTAGCTCCTACCGATTCAGAGATCTGGAAAAAAGCAAAAACACACCGGATAAAATCTTTGGCCCTCAGGAGGTGAAATCGTTCTGTTTTTAAAGCTTCACATCAAACTAAACAACTGTGAATGGAAGTTTCTCGAAATGCTGAAATCTAAACGGCAAGAAACTAAAACTGGACCGTGATTTCCTCAATAAAACCATCAAATTTGATGCTACTAATAAGAA